CTCTCTCTCTCTCTCCAAAGAATTTTTTTTTTGTTGTTGGACAGAATACAGTTAATCAAAGAAAAGGTTGGGCCTTGCCATCACTAGAGCTACTACCCCATTCTTTTTCATTAATCTATTACAGAAGGACAGGTTTTTTTAATGACATTTTTACTTTAGTTATAACCAAAATGGGCAATAATAATAATAAAGTTGGAAGGGACCTTAGAGGTCATCTTGTCCAACGCCCTGCACAGGCAGGAAACCCTATATCATTTCAGACAAATGGCTGTCCAGTCTCTTCTTAAAAACTTCCAGTGTAGGAGCATTCACCACTTCTGGAGGCAAGTTGTTCCACTGGTTAATTGTTCTAACTGACAGGAAGTTTCTCCTTTGTTCTAGGTTGCTTCTCTCTTTGATTAGTTTCTATCCGTTGCTTCTTGTCCTGCCTTCAGGCGCTTTGGAGAATAGCTTGACTCCCTCTTCTCTGTGGCAGCCCCTGAGATATGTCCCCCCTCATCCTTCTCTTCATTAAACTAGACATATCCAATTCCAGCAACCGTTCCTTATATGTTTTAGCCTCCAATCTCCTAACCATCTTTGTTGCTCTTCTCTGTACTCTTTCTAGAGTCTCAACATCTTTTTTTACATCATAGTGTCCAAAACTGGATGCAGTATTCCAAGTGTGGCCTTACCAAGGCATTATAAAGTGGTATTAATACTTCAGGTGATCTTGATTCTATCCCTCTGTTAATGCAGCCTGTTAATGAGAAGTGAAAGGCCGGAAAAATATTTACATAGATAAAATGAGGGATAAGGATAGAAAGAATCAGCCCTGAGAAAAGTACAAGATAGCCAAGATACCTCTACACACATACCCCCATGACCTGCTGTACTGTATATTTATTTGCAAAACTGCTGTATGGTCTCTAAAATAAATTCTGCCTCTTTTCCAATGGCTTCTCAACCTTATAAACCACAGAAAATGATCTCACTGAACAAAATGGGGGTTGAGTTTTGACTAAGTATGTGTAGGACCTAGTTCTAGGTTTCCAGGTATTTTATTCAAGTTAAAATTAAAATATAATTTCATATTTTTTGGCAAGCTGGCAGAGGCACAGGCATTCCGGAACCTGCACAAAAGTTATTTTTAATTTGAGAAAAAAGAGGCAAATATAATGACCATCCAATTCATTTGCATTCTTCGTGTTTTTGAAGAAGCAATTACCAGAAGAAAGATTGTCAATATTCTTCTCGGTTATATTGCCTATGAACAAAGCTTGATGATTAAAGGAGAAAAAACAGAGAGAGATGGGGAAAATATATTTACCTAGAAAGTAACTAGTCTAGCTCTATGATCTTAAGGAATCCTGCACCCAAAATCTTAGTAAACCTGAAAGAGGTAAGTGTGCAAATTAAGAATCTTCTACGACTATATCTCATTTGTTTAGTTGAATTGACAATCTTTTACAGCATTGATGTCTCCTTTAGCCCTATTGTTGAATAGCTAGGACAGTGATAGCGAACCTTTTAGAGACCAAGTGCCCAAAAATGGCCCCGGCCCCGCTCACCACCTTCACGGCCCCCCGCAGATCGCCCTGGCAGCCCAGCAGCACTATGGCGGCCACACCTTTTGCCTGCGCCCTGCAGCATCAACTGCATGATGGGGTGTGAGGGCAGAGTCTTGTCTACGCTGCCTGGCTGCCATGTCCTTGGCTGTGCTGCTCCGTGTGGGCCATGCTCGAGGGCCACTCTCCTTCAGGGGGGCTACTGGAGAGGAGGGGGTCACAGGGGGAGGCAAGGCTGGGGCAATGGCACATGTGCCCACAGAGAGGGCTCCGAGTGCCACCTCTGGCACCCATGCCATAGGTTCGCCATCACTGAGCTAGGACAAACAGTTCTAGTGACACTGTGTTTTAATTCTTGTTTTCCTGTTTGCTTTTATCCTAGCATTAAAAAAAAATAACCTTTGAACTTAAAAGCCATTAGTGAAAGTTACTTACTGTTTTATTGCTTACAGTTACATCATGTTCTTCTGCCAAATTACCTAAGCAAATGTGCACTGAAATCATAGGAAGGACGTCCTGTGCAAGCAGTTTGTGTATCTAAATAATAGGATTTTTTTTAAAAAAAATATAATTTTCAGTTTCGTCAAAAATACTAAAGCAATTTTGATAAAATTATACCCTTCCTTAAACCTATCTGTCAAGATGAGAATAAAATATAATTATTACAGAAAATCTTCATGCTACTCCTTTAAAAGCATAAAAGGGTCTTTTGAAATCAAATATACATGAAGTAGGAAAAACAATGTTTTTAATGGGAAAAAATGTCTTTAATCTGCAATGGAAGAACTACAGGTAATTGGAAAGACTGTTCAGATGTAGCTCTCATTTACATCAACTGAAACTTGTCTGGAAACATAGCAAAATGTATGATAAATACAGATTTGCAAGAGTTTCCCCTGCTAGCTAGAGCAAGTCAGTGCCATGACATGGATAAGTGAGGTGCTCCTACACCTGGGGTAGGCAACCTTGGCTCTTTTATGACTCGTAGACTTCAACTCCCAGAATTCCTAAGCCAGCCATGCTGAGGGGAAAGGGAGAGGTTTCCAAGCTGAGCCATGTTGGCTCAGGAATTCTGGGAGGAAGTCCACGAGTCATAAAAGAGCCAAGGTTGCCTATCCCTGTACACCAAACTAGCCATTTGGCTTTCCTGGTCACCCCATCCAAATGGGTGCTTTCTGCCCAGGCATATATATCTGCAGACCCAGCTGAGAGATATGCAGCCACACTTTAAAAGTCCTGTTTTGTAGAGCTGCCTCAGCCCTTCAAGGGAGCCTTGATTAAACTGAATCAACCCTTTAGGGCAGGCATCTCCAAACTTGTCAACTTTCAGACTTCTGGACTTCAACTCCCAGAATTCCTCAACCAGCCTGGCTGGCTGAGGAATTCTGGGAATTGAAGTCTACAAGTCTTAAGTTGACAAGTTTGGAGACCTGAACTTTAGGGCTTCACACAGGCCAGCCCAAGGAACCCACTAAGGTGCCAAATATCTGCTGGAATCTTAACGATGTCCACTTTGGGATTGGTGTACTTCTAACTTCTGTTTTCTGGGATGCTGGTCTTCTCACATTAAGAGAACTAACCATCTTATTAGTATTTGGAAAGTCTTAAAAACCCACCCCTTTTAAAAAACAAATTGATGCTTTTAGTTTAAAATGTTGTTTTAGTACTTTTCCCCTTATTTTATTTCCATTGCGAGCAGCTCATGGGATGTTGGTAGTTGATAATATCATAATAAAATTGTGATTTTAGATATATTCTAGGCTGGACAAATGCTGTAAATACTTTGATATTAATCGTACTGTTAATACAGTGAAAGCAAAAACAATTTCCAGTAACATGTTAGTTGAAATACTTGTTCTCCATTTAAGCTTGTAAGGGACAACTATGTGAGTGATCTTTTCTTTATTATTAATTTGTAGGCAAAAGGTGCAGCTTTTTAAAAGAATGTTGGGAAAATGTAGCTCCCTCATGCTGCTAATGTTTACTCAAGCCATTTTCTAGGCTTTATTGACATTGACTGAAAAAGCTACCTATAGGTTTTGTTACCTCTAGGAGCAAGAAATTAATGTAATTTTACAATAGGCTTTTAATACACCATTATTAAAAATATATACCCCGCTATTGCAATTGCACAAGCCCTGAACTGTACTCACAGAAGACCTAGTTTAATATCAATTTGTGAATGTAAGCATGAATTGACTAATATTTATGTTGGTTTACAAAGATTATAGAGAAGAAGTGCAGTTCTATACGTGCCAAATCAGAAGTAAATCTTCTTTCAGATAAGAGTGCCTAGCACTGTAGGATATCCCATTGATCTGAAGTGGATCAATTCAATTGAGCATGTGGTTAGACTGAAATAATATTTGTGTGTATAGATTGGTGTGCTGTCCATTTTTGGCTTCATGGTTGCTAACAGACAGCAATTCCTTTAGAGCAAATCCTGTTTCATCCAAGAAGCAGGGAGGGGATGTTGAGGCAGAAAAGAGGGCAGCAGCATGGAAAAAGCAGCCCTAAATAACACCACAGTCATTGTTAAGCTCGGTAACTTATCACCAAACGGCATATCATATCATCACAAGTAAAAAGGATACCTGCACTTCAATTATGTATCCTACATCAAAGATCGGAGCTTAAGAGAATCAATGATTTAATAACTTCTCAGACTTGAACTGAGACATTCCATAGCCAATTGGTGACAGGCTAGTTATCGAGGGACTTTCTTTTGACCTTATCATGTAGATTGGGGTGAAGTTGTTCCACAGGCTAATTTACTTAGCAAAGTTTTAAAAAAATCCTAAAGAAATGGATTATTTCCATTAGGCTACCAAGGGTGGAACTGTAAAAGAGAGCATGCAACGATGCAATCGCCCTTGTTAATGTATTGTCTGGAAGCTGGCCTTAAGCTGGCCGTATGAGACATGGTGGTGCAGTGGTTAGAATGCAGTTCTGCAGGCTGATTCTGCTCACATTGCCAAGAGTTCAGTTCCTTCGATTCTCATCCACTCAAGGTTGACTCAGCCTTCCATCCTTCCGAGGTGGGTAAAATGAGGACCAAATTGTTGGGGGCAACAGGCTGCCTCTGTAAACCACATATATTGCTATTAAGTGCAGAGGACAGAGAGGAAACAGGATCAACAGGGTGACACCTATATTGAGGTTGATGCACTGGTGGGCTTCTGGATCCAATTTGAGATGCTTGGAGCCCTACGTGACTTGGCATCTCTGTACTTGCAGGATTGTCTCTCCTGACCAGAATCTGCCAATCTCCTAAGAGGAGGTAATCAGGATTCTCATCCCTGACGAGATTAAACAAGAGCGAACACAGAGATATACAGTACGTACTTTCCTGGAGGTAGATCCCCACATATTGCAGTACCTTGCTGGGGACTGATGCAGTTTTGTGAAGGACAGCAGATATACTAGTTTTGGGTTATTAACTACCACAGTCACTTTTCATTTTGCACATTTTATTTCAGTTCTTATAAGTTTCTGGCATTCTACAAAAGTTGTAGACTCTACTGCCTAAAATAGATTTCTTTCTAGATTGTTATAAGATAGAAGAATGCCCTTACCCAATCTTGCACACCACCATTTGCTTCAAATGATGATTGGGCCAGCAACAAAGTTTCTTAAATATACATGTTTCCACATTATGATTGATCCAAAACATGCTTAGTCCACCAAAAAGAAATCCCATGTTTTGGAATACTTATGTCATTTTACAACCTCCATAATCTCCATATATATCACTTTTTGTAGCTTTGGACAAGCATCTTAACTGGCAAAACCCCATTTTGCACTTGTGCGCGAGTTTCAGGATTGTGCTTCAAAGAGAACACCAGTGCTCGCACGGTCCTGCGATAGGACATGTTAACAAGATGGGAAGAGAGATAAAAAGCTTCTTGCTCAATATTTTCTGCCAGCAGGTGACCAATCTGAAAACAGAAAGTAAGAAATGAGATCCTTATGTTTAATAAGGAGGCTCAGCATTTGCAACGGAGGTGGTTTCTTAATCAGCTCAAACAAGGAAATTCACATCATAATTTAAACAGGAAATTTCAATTTCAATTCATTTCAATTAAACAATAAGGGCTGTGTGGTCAGTTCCTTTTTTTTTTTTTAATCAACCCAACAGGACAGTAATCTGTAGTCAGCCTGGGACATCAGGCTCAAAAGCAATTATGAATTAAGGAGTACCATTTCTAATAACACTGATTTCTGCTGGGGTTTTAGACGACTCTAAAACTAAATCCTAGATATTTTAAATTCTTTACAAAACTGACTGGCAAGGCTGTAAAAGGAAATGGAGATTCTGTGCACAAGTGTCAGGTGTACTCAAGAAAACAGAAAAGGATTTGTTACAGCATTAATTTTGAAGTCCAGCCTCAGCATGTGCCAAGCTATATACAATGAGATATCTACGGAAGCAATATTGATATAAAATAAAAACAGCTACTGCCTAAAAAAAAATGAGGGTTATTTCGTTTTGATTATTGGTGACACAGAACTAAGGAGACACTTGTTTATCTTAACCTATTTTTCAGCCACTGTGGGAATAACCTCATTACACTCAACTGTATCTTATACTAGAACGATGTTGTTAGTTTTCATTTACATTGAATAACTTATTCCTACTGGAGAGAACTTATCACAGTGTCTTTGCAGAATTGTGAGTTTAAAATGCATATTCCCAAACTTACTTTTCCAATTATTTAGAATATCCTGTTGGTTTTAGAATCGCTGTCACTTATATTAGTGCTTTTTCTAACTGCTCTGCTGATTTACACGTCTCTGTCTTCTTAAGCAATGTCTCATATGAGAAAATTCAAATAATAAGGTGCATTTACTATCAACCTTCAAGTTCACTTTAGAAAGTAATGTGGACCAGAGTTAAACAGATATGATATGAATGAAAGAGATATGATACGACTTACTCTAACACTGTCAGGATCCAACCTAAGTAAACCTACACCTGTACTTTGAGCTCATAGCTCATTGTATTTTACTTTGTTTTACTTATGCAGATTTCAATGTTCCCATGCTTAACAGCAGCTTGCAGGGAGATACTGTAAAGACAAATGTAGCCTTTTCCAGTGTAACAATGCCAGGGTTAAATGTGTAGGAAATTATAGATAAATCTTCATTTCATTTATATGTAAAACTATAAAAATGGCTTGCAAAAAGTAAACTGAGTCATGTATTCCATCTATATCAGACATGTCAAACACAAGGCCCGGGGGCCAGATGCTGCCCGCGAAGTGGTTTCATGTGGCCTGCGAAGCCATCCTGGAAACAGTGAGGGAATGGCCCCCTCTGCCTTGGCCCAGGCCCAGGCCAGCCGGGAGCCAATGTACAATTTTGTGGTGGCCATCTATGCTGAAACGCATTCAGTCTTAGTTCCATAAGCCCTCCCCCCCCGCATGGCCTGAGAGGAACAGTGAGGCTCCTCCAGTGGACCATGCCTTGGCACTTGCCCTGGTCCCATCCCCTTCTGCCAGAGACCCTCAGATCTGTCCCACTCCTGCCCAGGCCCCCACAGGCACCCTTGATGTGAACGATGTAGAGCTGGCCACACCCACCCAGTAGGCCACACCCACTCCATCGACACCCACCCTGGCCACACCCACCCAGCCCCCTGAGGGCAACTGCAATGCTGATGTGGCCCTTAATGAAATTGAGTTTAACACCCCGATCTATATTATTACAAACATACAGAATATGCATCCATATTCAATTAAAATTGTATCTACTCTAATAAGCTTTTAACATTTCTTATGCTAGACATTTGAATACATTCCCCTTCCTGCTTAAATAGATGCGTATTCTTTAAATTATAGTTATCTTGTGCATATGCATTAAAAAAAATCAAGACACCAAAAACAGATGCGATGCCAGGGAAGACTGTTCTGATGTACTACAAATTATTTTACAAGGCTAGGGAGGTAGGTCAAGATGCTGACTATCCCTCTGAGAATAAATATTTCCAATTGCAGCTTGCAATAAAATTCTGGCTATATATTTACTTTAGTAGATTTCTTTCTGGCTCTTCAGTAAAAGTAACTGTTTTGTTTAAACAGAAACAATACTACAATCATAAAATCAAGTGAAAAGTGAAAAAAAAAATAACTGTGATCTGTTAGCATGTAACATTAAAAATGGAAACACTGTTTGATAGTTAGGCATATATAAACAGTTTACAAAAAATCAGAGGAGTCGGCTTCTTATGCTACATGGGGCTGCCACTGAAGACCATCAGGAAGCATCAGATGGGTCCAGGGTACAGTGGCACAGGTAGTTATGGACACATCTCACTATCCCCAGGTAACACTGCTTCTCATTGAGATGCACTGATTTCCAAAAGGCTTCCTGGTGCAATTCAAGATACTACCTTAAAAGGCCTACACGATACAGGATCAAATTACTTGAAAGACCATCTTCTCCCAAGAACATCTGCCTGCCCCACATACTCTCACAGGGAATCCAGATTTCTTCTTTTCCTTCTTATGGGTCTCTAGAATAGAGGTCCCCAACTTTTTGGGCACCAAGGACCAGTTCTGTGAAGAGAGGTTTTTCCATGGACCGGAGGGTGTGTGGTTTTGTGTGCTGCCTGCATCCCGCAGAGGGGTTTTGCTTGTTTGTGCGGACCGGTTGCTGGCATGCTGTGGCCCGGTACTGGTCCACAGACCGGGGGGGGTTGGGGACCCCTGCCCTAGAGCCATGCCTTTTCTATGGTTGCCATGTTCTTTGGAATGATCTCCAATCTCCACTCCAACATATGAGATGCCCCAACTGTGTTCACTTTTAGAAAAACTATCTGGCTCTTCTCCTCAGCATGAGGGGCCAGCTGAGTGAGAATCTCCTTTTGGTTATTCTGTTATTTTGCTTGATCACCATTTTATATTTATATATTATATATGTCAAAAATTATATGGTTTGGGGGGGATTTCTTGCTTGTTTTTAGGCTGTACACTGCCCAGAATCACACTGTTTTGAGTTGGTGGCCTTACAAATCTTGTTCATAAAATAATAAATAAATATTCTATAGTAAGTGATAACAATGAAGATATTTTTGACTTTGGTTTAGCATGGTGTAAATCATTGTGACTTTAAAAAAAATCAACCAGGATTTATAGCTTAGTAGGTTCTCCTCACAGATTGCTTAGTACCTGGACTGCTGGATTGCTGCTTTGGGGCTGCTCTGTGTATAACTGTATCTAGGGCTATTTTTTTTTTAAAAGTAGACCTTTGATATGCACCTTTTGACAAGTGACCATATTCAGTGAGAGAAAAGCAAGAAATAGTGATGTCTTTAAGGTGTAGTTGAAGCAAAAATTAAAAAAAAAAACTCAGGTTAAAGGTAAAATGTAGATACTTGTGTAATTACTGCCACTCTGCACTCACATTTTCATATATAAAATCTTTATAATATGAACAACACTGTTAAACTAGTTCCCCAGTTAAACCTGGTTTGAACCACTGCAATATTATGCATCTGTCTGAAAAAACTGTAGGCCACAACTGAGGATTCCAAATCCCAAATTGGTCTACTAACCATTTGACATTTTAGCTCTAGGACCTGCTGGAGCTATTAACAAAACAGGAGGGCATAATTTTCTGACCAGAGTTGATAAGGAATAAAAGCACTGCCTCTAAATTTTGTTTTCTACTCTTCGAGTACCTTGACATGCCATTTAAAGGATAATTAATGAATTCATTTGAAAGGATAATTATTATGGAGTTTAATAGAGCAAGCACGCTGGTCCTTAAGACTCAGGTAGAATTTTTTGTGTGTTCATTACGTAAGAGTACCACAGGGATCTGATATTTACCACCACTTTGTACACTATTGACCCTCTCTGTAGGGTCTCACAATAAACTTTGATTTACAAACATTTAATTACAGATATAAGGTTTGCCTGAAGTATAGACCATCTGGAGAGAATACCATTATTTATACCTTGTACACAAAATAATAAGTACATATTTACATATTTCTTTTCTCTCAGATGATTTCCTAGATGACTACATAATGCTGGGTAATAATTTGTTTAATTATATTTCACTGAACTGATCATAGTCAATTGAGATTATGTAACATGTTAAGCTCTAAACCATGATTTACAAAGTGAAATATATATTTGCACAACATGCAAATCCAAAGCAAATCGCATTATGGCTAAGCACGATTCATAAACGCAATCCCAAGCCAATACTTGCATTGCTTCTAGAAATAAGGCTACAGTAGTAAAATAAAGGATCTTTTCTGTTGTAAAGCTCTTCCTGTTGTAAATAAGAAGTTAATTCTGATATCACTTCAGCAGCAAACCCAAAATGATGTTTATTTCTTGAGGCCTTCCAGCACATAACTAAAGCAGGTTTTAAAATATTTTATTCCTTCTTCCAGTTTTTGGCTTCTGTCATGCTTTTGTTGTTTCAGCTGATTTTATATTTCAATTTATGGCAGCTGATATTGTTTTTATGATCGTTCTGGGCCACTCTGGGAATTGTGTGAAGCAAAAGTACAAAACATTTTAAATGAAATTATGATGGCAGCTACTCCAGAGGAATGTGTATGGATCCGCTTCACTAAAAACAAGTAATATAAATATTTGGCTAGATGTTATAGGTAGGTACACAAGAAGAAGGAAAAATGATAGAGAATGCATTTCCCTCAACATTTCCTCAACAGTATATTACAACTGGGCTTTTTATTCATTTATTTATTTATTAAAAACAGTTATATGGCCACCCAACTCATTTACAGTGACTGAGTAGCTCATAGAAGTAAAAGGTATAGGTGCAGTCTCCTCACTGATCCATATGGTTTCATCCTCCACTACCTGAAATTTATACATTTATCTTCTCTATTTTTTCTTGTTTTCTTAACCTCTGCTATCAAGACAAAATGCACCAGAGTGAGGCATATCATAGTAACAACCAGCAACCAATTTCAATAAATATAGTTTTTTTTATCACCACCAGAGCTAAAGTACCTTCTGGAGAGAAAAAAAAGGTCCTATTGGCAAATTACTTATCAATAAGTAACTTTGGATATCAACTTGTGATTTATTTATGTAAAATGTTTACTGCTACTTTCATTCCCTCCTTGTCTAAATGGATGAAGTCAGACTGAGCTTTTCAAGATTAGCTGAAACTATCTGAAAACTGATGTCACTTGCTTAAAGTGCAATTCAGGATAAGAGGAGGAATAAACACATTGACTGTGGGTTTTGGGTTTTGGGGGGGGGGTTTGAGATAGAGAATTTATTGAAATATAAGGAAGCCAAAACTAAGCCAGCATTGGATTTATTATCTGTTCCTTCAACTGCAAAGTAACTTGCCTTCCAGATCATTAATGTTTGCATCTGAATGCCTGCTATCTAACTTCAACTAGATTATTTCTTTAGAAAATTTACAGTGTATGGCTGTCGGTCTTATAGGATTGTAATTTTGCACGATGTACAGGAAAATAACCAAATAAAAAACTGTTAAAACCAACAATATCAACAAAACAAATCAGATATCAATAGCACATAACAGAACAAATGTAGCTCAGGGTTGAACTGTGGCGTTCTTAGTGCTCGCTCAGTTTGATTGTTTGCTGGCAGACGATTCATTACCTAATTATTTGGTTTTGGTATTATTATAAACTGCCCAGACTCATTTGCAGAGTGAAATGGGTCGTGGATATAAATTTGACAAATAAATAAACTAGCTACCATCATCAGTGCAAGAACTCCATAAGAACACATGGTCAGGGCCCATCAACATACCCTTCTCCTCTCAAAGATAGGTATATCTGTCACCCTGGCTCAACAAAGCTAATAGGGTCAGGGCTAACCAAAGTTTGCTGGGGGAGGGTGGAGATCATCCCAAGTGTAGATGCTACATAAGGGTCCTAGGTCCCATTAGAAGGCACTGGTTCAGGGAAGGGAATCGTGCCTATCCTATTAGAGCACAGGTTGGCAACCTGCGGCTCTGGAGCCGCATGCGGCTCTTTGAGCCTTCCTCTGTGGCTCCCAGCCTCCTCTGCCTCTCCTCTCCTTTTGCATATTACTATATTAGTAACAACAGTACAGGGAGGAGGAGGCTGGACAAGGATGACAGAGCAGAAAAATGCAAAATTGGAGTGCAATAAAGAGAGGGAGGGGCAACTAAGGCAGTTACAGGCAATCAGGAAGAGTGGCCCTGTCACGCGAGCAATGAGCAAGCAGTTAGATCGGCAAGGGGATAAAAAGAACTTCCCCACCCCCTGAGCCTCACTCTGAGGACGCTGGCAGAGGACCAGCGAAAGCTAAGTTGTTTTTAACTTTGTATATAACTGTTTTTATTGTTTTAAATATTGTTTTAACAATAAACAACTAGATTATACTCTTCCTGGAGATCGAAGATTGCATTATTGAACAAATATGCCTGGGATTCGCATTTTTACAACCATTAAGGGCACACACACACACACACACACATATATATATATATGTTGTCTGAGGTTTTCATGGGTGTTTGTATGTAGGTCTTTGGTTATTCGGGTTTTCTCACGCATAAAATTGGAAGTGTCTTGGCAACATTTTGACGAAGTCCCATTCGTCATCTTCAGGCTGGTGTTTTCGGCTTCATGCTTCTAGGAGCACGAAGCCGAAAACACCAGCCTGAAGATGACAAATGGGACTTCGTCGAAACGTCGCCAAGACACTTTCTACTTTACGCAGGAGAAAACCCAAATAACCAAAGACAGACAGACATACATACATACATACATACATACATACTATAAAGGTAAAAAAGGATATATGCAGTGTTATCTTCATTTTAGATATCAAAAGGTTTTGTGGCTCACAGTGTTTTGTTTTCGGTGGGAAACGGGTCCAAGTGGCTCTTTGGGTGTTTTGGGTTGCCTACCCCTGTATTAGAGTGTGTGAGTTGGGCAGAAATAATGTGAGAAAAGCAGTGCCACAAATAACACAATAGTAATATTATGCTAAGAAAAGTTATTTCCTAGAAATTTATCATGAAATATACATTACCTCAACTTCTAGAGCTTCTGCTAGTAGCTTCCGGGCATTCTGCCTCAGGCTCTCTGTTCTGGGATTACACCTGACTTCAATTAAAGGTCTATTTGACTGGTTTTTAATAAAGCTTCTCCACTCAGTGTAAACCTCTTTCGCAAGAGTGGCCACATCCTGGTCCGGGTGTTTCCGCATCTTATTCACTGTATGACCTAAGAGTAAATGAAAGATATAGAGTACATGGTAGCATTGAATAGGATGTTGGAAAGTGGGGCAAAGCTGAAAAACATCTTTTCTCTTGTTACAGCCGCCACTACAGTCTAGAAATCCTGCTCAATGAGGCACATTTGGTTGCTGTGACATCTATTCCCAAGCCAGAATTATTTCTTTTTGAGACCTATTATGACACGGAGATTTAGCAACAGAGAGGAATTGGGTGAAACCTAAACGAAAAGTCAACTCCATCATGTGGCTTTCCTAGAAATTGTCTACTTCGTGACACTTAAAATAAATTGAAAGCTATTTTGGGAATGTAACTCAGGAGGAGTAATTAAAATAAGCTCCATGAGCACAGAAGGAGAAAACGAAGAAGACATTGTTCTGAATGCTTGGTGAATTCTCTCTCTCTCTGTGTATGTGCAGCTTGATTGACAGAGGGCAATATTTATTATTTGAAGAAATCCTAGGGCAGCAATATAAACAAAAGGCAGAACCAGGACCAATACTAAACTTGATTGAACCCAGAATTCAAATAACTATTAATTAAATCAGTATGATTATTCCCCAGGTATTAAACTGTTCCCCTTTGAACATTACAAACTATAGCTTAAGTCAACTTCTCAAAGGACCCTGAGAGCTGCATCTTAGATTAGTGGCTCTAATATGTGTACAGATAGTCCTCAATTTACAACAGTTCAAAGTTACAACGGCACTGAAACAAGCGACTTATGACCGTTTTTCACACTTACAACCATTGCAGCATCCCCATGGTCACACTATCAAACTCCAGATGCTTGGCAAGTGACTCATATTTATGATGGTTACAGTATCCCAGGGTCATGCAATCACTTTTTGTGACTTTCTGGCAAAGAAAGTCAATGGGGAAACTTAATTCACTTCACTGTGCCATGAACTTAATAACTGCAATGATTCCCTTAACAACTGTGGCAAGAAAGGTCATAAAATGGGGCAAAATTCACTTAACAGATGTCTCACTTGGCAACATCAATTTTGGGCTCAGTTGACATCGTATGTCGAGGACTACCTCTGCTAAATGCTTAGCGTTTTATAACTGAACTATCCCAATTTATTCCCACAAGCCACGATGCCGGTCTTCCATGATAGAATATAAAAAGCAAATTGTTACCTATTTTCGTTGAAAGTAAAATTTCCTTGGAAGGTATTTTCTTCCTTAACTCCATCAAGGCCTCAATTAGGTTCTCCTTAGGTTGAATTGAAAGCTCTAGTACAGATTTCCATCTTTTTAGATCTTCTACAACTACAACTCTCTAGGAAAGAAAGCCATCATTAGGAGCTAGAATGAGACACACATATTTTGCTGCAAACTCATTTCCGATGCTTTGTGTCAGTGAACAGCGGCAGTTATTGCCCTATAAATTATTGATGATGATGGACAGTCAAATTCCGAAAATCGGATAATCCACACAGATGAGTACTTGTTTCACAGCAAGTCCCTGATGTAAAGTAAGTGAGTGAAATCTAGAAAGCAAAATCAACTCATTAGGCTGCCATCTTCAATTCACTTACTATTCTGAAGAGAGTGCGTAGGGCAGAGACTCCTCATAAAAATCTGAGAACACCTCATAATGTTGCCACGATTCTTCACTATTACCTAAACTAAACATGTACTTGCTTGCCTGTGATCTCTTGGCCCCAAACACATATTAACTGTCATCCCCCCCCCTTCACTGCTGTAACTGTTTTGCATCATTCATATTCTTCTGATTTATTCCACTACAAAATAAAGTTTTCCGCTTTCTTTCTTAGGAAATTATATCATATTTTTTCCTGACTTCCTAAGATTTTTCTTTTTTTTTGGCTAATTTTTAAACTCTTCCCTATTCCTATACTTCTATAAATTATTTTCAAACACAAAGGTCAATGTAATTATCATTTACACCTTTCTTCCTCTGTTTGGGTCTTTATGTCAATAGTCTCCAACTCTAAACATGCTTTCTGTCCATTTTAACTGACCTGCCTAGTCCAAATGTATCACAGGTACACTTTGACTTACAATCATTTGTTTAGTGACAGTTCGAAGTTACAGCTGCACTGAAAAAAGTGACTTATGACCATCTTTCATATTACAACTGTCACAGCATCCTCATGGTCACATGATCAAAATTTGGATGCTTAGCAACTGGCATGTATTTATGATGGTGGGAGAGTCCTGAGATCATGTGATCACCTTTTGTGATCTTCTGACAAGCAAAGTCAATGGGGAAGCCAGATTCACTTAACAACTGTACTACTAACTTAACAATTGTAGTGATTCACTTAACAACTGTGGCAAGAAAGGTTGTAACATGGGGCAAAACTCACTTAACAATTGTCTTACTTAGCAATGGAAATTTTGGCCTCAATTATGGTCGTAAGCCGAGGACCACCTGTATTAAAATTTTTTCACACTGATAGGTTATTTCCTCATTACAACAGAGATACTGTTTTCATTTATTATAATAACAGAACACAGCAAAGAGATACTTTGAAATTCCCACTTCATTTAACTACTGAAGAATAAAGAAATCACAAAAATAATTAAAAGGTTTCTCTTGAAATAGCCCTGGATGTGATATGCCGGGGAAAACTGACCAAAAAGGAAAACTGAGCTGAAAACAAAACCAACAGAATAAATTTGCTTAAAATTTGCTGTTTTTGGTAAGTGTTACTTTTAAAATAAAGGAGATACTTTAAAAGAACTATTTGTTCCACGTTATTGCTTTGCCTTTTGAGAGTAACGGCTAAAGGTGTTCATTGGAAATACTTTCTAAATACAGTATTTTATATAATTAAAAATGTTATCCCAGTAATGTGAAATTGCAACTTTTTCAAAATGCTCATTAATTTTTGAACTAGTTTGAATTAGTTTCAGTTTGATCTGATAGCTCAATTTTTCAAATGAATCATTTTACTTTACTAGGTATTGTTGGTTAGTAAGAGTTATTAAAAATAGTTTTATGGGAGGCAGCCAAACAATAAATGCATTGAGTTGCTACCCACAGTAGGGACTGTAAGAGAAGCTGTCTCATTGGATTTGCTTACTTCCATTCTAAAAGGTGCATGTTACATTTGACGTTATTACAGTTCTCAATACATTTTTGCAGCTTCACTGAACCACTATTTTGGTGAAACCTTTTCCAGAATGTTGTATAATCCATTTAAAGCATAAATGTTTCTTAAAACTTTAATAAAATTCATTTGTTATTCTTTCCAAAGGTTACTTGGGCTGATTAAAAACTTAAAATAGTTATTTTTTGAGAAGCTTCATATACTGAAATTACAGGGTACAAGAAAAGTTAACAGTCATTTTACTTAATGATATTCCCATACATGAAAAAATAGGCTTTTCCTATAATCCCCCCCAGCATTGGATTTTAAATACATATTAAATACATATTTTGGAAAATAGTTCTAGCTTTACAATTTATTCCCTCAGAAATACCATCATGTTGTTTGAAACTAAAGAAAGAAATCTAAATTATTACAATGCAGAAGTATTTGAAACATACCTTCAGAGATTCTATTGTAGCTTGTTTATAAATCTTTTTTCCAGGATTGCTCTTTGTTGGTTCTCCTTTAGTTCTGGGTGTTCTTACAACAAATTTATCCATCATCTAATCCATAAACAGGAAAAAATAACTATTTATAGCAAGAAGGTACTTCTATATGAAAGGAGGAAAAGAAGGATGATGTACTCTGTCTTTATAAATGGAGGTTAATAGTGATCTTGCAGTTTAAACTAAACCAGAAGGCCTGTAAATAATGTAAAAGTAGAAAAAGCGCCTGTATTCAAAAACAATATAAATATCAGGCTTAAAATGCGTTATTGTGAGCTTGAACTGGGTGCTATTAAAAGGTTTTCAAGCGAGATCGGGAACCAAGTTGAAGCTGTTGAATTTCTATCATTGTACTTGTTGAGAAGCAAAGTTTTTGCTACTCTTTCCTTGAGAGTTTTTTTTAAAGTAATAAATTAATTTGGTAAAAAGTAAAATAATAGAAGACGAGCTGCACCTCACCTGAGAAAAAACACTATTTGTCCAGGATGCCTGTTAATTGCCGGAATTGCATCTCCTTCCGCTTCTCGCCCTCCTGGAACTACATTTCCCAACAACGCTTCAACTTCAACCTACTTTCCTGCCCTCCCAGACTGATCGTAGAGATAAAAATTAGAGTAACCACACCCTTTACAGAGACATAGCTGCCTGATGTATTTTTGTTATTGTTATTGTTAACAGGAACAACCATTCGGTGAGGGGAGGGAAGTCTTAAGAATTTAACATAATTGTGATTGCACAGAGAATTAACCTTCAAATGATCGTCTTCACGCAGTTACATGAAGCTACCTGTAAACGTATCTATCTCTACCATCCAATTGGCAACTTTAAGATATGTGGACTTCGACTCCCAGAATCCCCTCCAGGGGTAGGCAATCTTGGCTCTTTTATGACTCGTGGACTTAAACTACCAGAATTCCTGAGCAAGTCCACGAGTCATAAAAGAGCCAAGATTGCCTACCCCTGGAGGGGATTCTGGGAGTCGAAGTCCACATATCTTAAAGTTGCCAAGATTAAGAAACTTTGCAGTAAGGGGAGATGCGCCTGACAATGCATATGGATTGCGAGGAACTTTTCTCTTTGTTTGTATGGATTTTTTTTCTTTATTACTGTTTAAACAGTAATAGGACTAGAATTAGTGTAGTAGACTATTCTTTTTGGAGTGCTACTTTTTTCTCGAGAGGAAAAAAAATCGTGGTAGAGAAACCCGGAAGCCAACCAAATAGTTCTAAATATTAGTAGCTCTTCTAATCGGAAACGAGAAGCTCATGGTGGGAGTAACAAAAACAAACCGTCGGGGGGGGGGGGCGGTAACAAGATGGCGATGGCGCGGTTGAGCCGTTTAGGGTCTCTCCTCCTGCTGGTCGTTCTCGGCTCTGAGGCGGCGTGGGCAGACCTGGAGCCCGCTCCGAATTCCCTTTCGGAGGCTTTTGAACCGGCGTTGGGAAATACACTGTCGTGTCAACGGACTTGCCAGAACACTTACCCGCTCCACACGTACCCCAAGGTAAGAAAGGGGAAAGCTGCGGTGGCGGCGACTTCGCCCCTAAATCACCCGCTAGGAAAATGGTTTGCGGGGTTTCCTCCTCCTCCTCCTCTCGGGGTCCTGGTTAATCGGGGGTTGCCGGAAGGAGGAATCGAGAGGCGTGGTGCCACTGTTTCCCCGTGTCTCTATGTGTTTGTATACGTGTGTGTATAAACGCGCGCACGGCAATAAAAATTAAGGGGGAGAGGCTTATAAACGGAAAAGGACGCCATGCAGACAATATGCTCCAATGTTAATTAAAGCAGGTTGGTTATACCATGGGAGCCTCCTCTGGCTCTTCCTCAGAGCAAGACGGACAGAAAGGCTCCTTCTGGCTCTTCCTGGCTGCTGCCTGGGAGGCACCTCTTTGATTGGCCATTAACAAATTTTCCAGCAAATATATGGGCTGCTTTTCTGAACGCTGCTTCTCCAGGGTCTCAGGTTCAGGTGCTGGTGCTTTCCAAATCAACGGTTGAATACCATTGTGGTCCTCGGCTTACCACCGCAATGGAGCCCCAAATATCTGTTGTTAAGTAAGAGATATGTTAAGTGAGTTTTGCCCCGTTTTACGACCTTTCTTGCCACAGTTGCTAAGTGAATCACTGCAGCTGTTCAGTTAGTAACATGGTTGTTAAGTGAATCTGGCTTCCCCAGTGATTTTGCTTGTCGAGGTTGCAAAAGGTGATCACATGACCTTGGGACACAACAATGGTCATAAGTATATATGCCTAACTATCATTTGATCATATGACCATGGGGATGCTACAAAGGTCGTAAGTGGGGAAAATGATCATCTATCACTTTTCAGTGCTGTTGTAACTTTGAATGGTCACTAAATGAAATGTTACAAATTGAGGACTATCTATAGAGCTTTCTCATCCCAGCTCAGGTAATTATCAGCTCAAGTCAGATGTAGGAATTGCTACAATTTGGAGTGTGCCATATTCTGAAAGATTGGGTTATACATGAAATCCACACACACATACACACACTTTTCTCCTTTGATTTGTTGGCATGGAACAGACAAACTTCTTTTTGTAAGGAAGGAAGGAGTACATTTCTTCCTCTGTATTGTCCCTTTCTTGGCCGATAGATGGGGCTTGACCTATCTGCCCAGAATGAACCTCCAGTTTCTACTTTATATTAATTTATTAAGCTACTAGCTGAACCCAGCCACACGTTGCTGTGGCTCAGTCTGGTTAAATGGAAAAGAAAGAAAAGAGAAAGCGCACGTTTGTAATACGTTTAATTTCACAATGCTTGTGGGTATATAATATTTTTTGTTGTTCCATTGTCTGTGCAGATATAGAGATTGTCTGAAATCGTAGCATGTGTTGCTTTTATGTCCAACAGATGGCGCTGTTTTTCACAAAAACCATGTTTTTATCTGTCACAGGTGTGACATCTATATAATATAGGTATATAAAAACGTGCGTATTCAAATGCAACGTTTTCGAAATTTCAAAAGCAATTGGTGAAGAACTTTCGGAGATTTAAGATTTTGAACAAACGAACATTTACATTTTTATTTATATATAATATAATATAATATAATATAATATAATATAATATAATATAATATAATATAATATAATATAATTATATATAGAAAGATAAATGAATAAGGTTCTCTGCTGCCTTTGGTGGTAAGGATCATATTGAATGGTATTTGTATATTCGTGGCATCTTATTTATTTTTCTAGCAGTTTTAAATGTATGTTAAATAGTGATGGGAATATGAAACTGGAACACAGAAGTTGTCATCTTTCTAATGATCTTAGTATTTACACAGTTTGTATGCAACTTTTTATTATAAATCAGTGTATTAAACCATGGCATTCATCAACTGTTATATCTAATTTCTTAAAAGCTGCCCTTTCAATTGAAAATGACATAGGGAAACAATAGATTGAAATATCATAGAAATAAATTGTCCAGGATATACTTTATATTTTGTTATATACCATACTGACAATTTTTATAATAACATTATCAAAATAATTATGGTGATTTTCTTGACATTTAATTATCAGGAAGAAGAGCTCTATGCATGTCAAAGAGGTTGCAGATTATTTTCAATTTGTCAGTTTGTGGATGATGGAATTGATTTGAATCGGACCAAGATGGAATGTGACTCTGGTAATATAAAGTAGTGACTTTTTCAAGTTATAATAAAAAAAATGTCCCAATGTTTAGAGGAGTTTAGAAACATTTTGGTAACCTGGTAAATTGCAAAGAGAATATCATAATGATTTAGGCAGTTACCTAATCACAAAGGACAGGTAAAGCCTTCATGCAAATGAAATATAAGACAGAATGTGAATTTGAGCCCCATGTGCCAGAGAAAAGATTAGACTCCAAATCACAGCAAAGTATTATTTCACAAAAGGAAAAGTGATTGGAATTAGAATATCCACCCAAGTTAACATACCGTACAAACATACCGTAGCTACCCCATTTTCAAACAAACTGATAACACATACTCTAGGCAAAGCAGCTCCTATAATAACTGATACAGATCCCTACCAAGCCCTTCCCAGCTTACCAATTAGTGGTTAGAGCCACTTACAGCCTTCTATTTTAGAAAGCCTTTTGGCTGGCTGCTAAAATTTCCTTTACCTCATTCTCCTTTCTGAAGAATTTTCAATATTTACACATACTCTAGAAAAAAGGGATATAATACTGAAGCCATTTATTTTTATTTAGTTAGTTCAGAGAGGTAAAAGTTCAAAGGCTACATATTGTTTATCGTTTTTTCATGAAGAAAAAAATTCTAATAGCTGATTTGGCTTACAACATAAACTGAATGATATTTTGCTCGCTTTCTATTTTGATAACATTATTCTTGAATCTTGTGCATTACAGTGTGGCACTTTATTCAACTGTAAATCCTACTGACTTGACTAGTATTCCCTCCAAGTCAATATGCATAGGAATAGACAGTTGATGTGTTTGATACACATTTATGGGAAGATTCTGTTTTTCCCTTATAATTTTTTTACATGATTATTCTGATTACATACTTGTCTGTTTCCTTCTATATTCATGATGTATAGTAAGTTACATTAAGAGATTTAAAAAATGAATGGATTTGTCATGTACAAACCAAGGACCTACAGAAAGCTATACCAAATTATTTTCCCTTGTCTCTTTTTAATAGTTCTGTCATTTAGTTTACTTATCTTGAATTTTAAAATTGCTTGATCTCAAATTTCTTTTCTTTTCTAAATACTGACATAGTCTATTAGTATGGGTATCAAAAAATAATAGTATTAAATAGTGGTTTTATGTTCATCTGTGCTTTATCACTGGTATGGAATGTGCAGTCCTTAAAAGTGAGAAAATGGATGTTATTTTGCAGCATGTACTGAGGCATATACCTCCCAGTCTGATGAACAATATGCTTGCCATCTTGGATGCCAGAATCAGTTACCATATGCTGAACTGAGACGTGAACAAGTAAGTAATCTCAATTGTAAAGCAGAAACAGTTGAAGTTCACTGCTTGTACTCCTATTCTGCAGCTGATTTATATGCATGTGTGAAGAACACTTTTTTAAAAAAATAATCAACTTTTTATTTGTAGCTCATGTCCTTAATGCCAAAAATTCATCGACTCTTCCCACTTACCCTTGTAAGATCCTTCTGGAGTGATATGATGGAAACTGCCCACAGCTTCATTACCTCTACCTGGACTTTCTATCTTCAAGCTGATGATGGCAAAATACTGATATTTCAGGTACTTGCTAACTTGTGTCACTAGAATGTAAATGGATTTATACAAAGATGCTTCTAATTCAATTGAAAATTCAACTCTTGCCTATTTTTTGTAATGGTCCAGACTTTAATTAATCAGGTTTGCACTTTAAAATGCTTACAAACTAATGTATCTTGAGGAAGATGGATAGCCCAGAAACACGAAAAATATTTGTTTATTTCTTTAAATAAATAAATACAGGTAGTCCTCAACTTAGGACTACAATTGGGCCCAAAATTTCTCTTGTTAAGTGAGACATTAAGTGAGATTTGTCCCATTTTACAACCTTTCTTGTCATGGCTGTTAAGCGAATCAGTGCAGTTGTTAAGTTAATTGCATGTTGTTACGCGAATCCGGCTTCCCCATTGACTTTGCTTGTCAGAAGGTCGCAAAAGGAGATCACACGACTCTGGGACACTGCACCTGTCATAAATAGAAGTCGGTTGCCAAGCATTTGAATTTTGATCACGTGGCCGGGGAGATGCCATAACACAGTCATACCTGTGAAAAAAAGTCACTTTTTTCGGTTCCATTGTAACTTCGAACAATCACTAAATGAACTGTTGTAAGTCAAAGACCGCCTGTAAATAAATAAAATAAAAATGTGATTGCTTAAACTAGTATTATTAACTCCTGAGTATGATGATTTCAGTTTTGTACACAGCTTTTACGCTAATTTGAAGGTTCTATTATAATTTCAGTCCAAACCAGATGTTCAGTTTGTACAAAGTCCTAATCAGGAAAACCAAGATTTGAAAGCATCATCACTAGCCAAGACATCTTGTAAGTTACCAGAAAAAATGTGGGGACTATAACAGAAGTAATTATGGATAGTAAAAATATATTTTCTATGCATTTATGAAAATGGTGTGTTTTTTAAATTAAAAATTAAGCTTTCTTATCACCTTTTAATTGGTTTTCTATACTGATGATTAGAAACTATAGAATTGAACATCAGATAAACTCAGTATAATGACTAGAAACTCCATTATTTACACAAAAGTGAAAACTCACTATATCTGTGACATCAATGAGTTCTACCCCTCCAGAGTTCTGCTGATAATTTACAAAGGCATTCATGCAAGGATGTCAGCACTTCCTCAAGAAGAATTCCTTAGTGTAGAAATACTGGTTAAACATGTAGATGCCTTCCTAAATGTCACTAGTAAGACTTCAGAACAACTTTTATATTATAGCAACTGAAGCATATTTTTAAATGAACAATAGTTGCCTTAGTGGCTGAACTCCAACAAGACATAGCATGCTTATAAAAATATAAACGTGCACATCTTTTTAGATGCTGTTTTCTTCCAGGATTTTCTTATAGAGAAAGACAAACCAACTTTTTAGTTTTATCTTATTAAAGAAACAGCTTATAATGTTTAGCACAAAGATTTTTCTGGAAGAAATAAATCTGGACAATTACTAACAGTAATATTTACAACTTGAAAAACATGCATAGGATCAAACATCTGAGTGTGCATATACACTTGTCATATTTTTCCTTCATTTTTAAAAAGCATAAAGATGCAAAATGTATGGGGGGAAAGTTATAGTTTTTAAAAAAACAAAAGCACAGTTTTATAATTTAGAGTAAACACGTGAGTGGATCATATTTTGAAATATGTCATTCCATTTTTTTCATGCAAAGTGAACCGAACTTGGTTGATTCCAACAAAATTATGTGAGATGCAGTGGTAATTCTCATATTTCCCTGTACTAATCCATTGATTTCAGTGCTTCTGCTTTCCAATATCGTACTATGTATGGGCGTGTCAGTGTGTAAGCCACTGACAATCTGGCTAATGTAATGTTCCACAATTAATTCGCTTATGTAGCCTGTAACTATTTTGCTGCATTCTTTTGAAAGTTAACAAGATCATATCTAAAACATCTACAATACATTATAAAAATTACCATCCGAATCACTGAGAATAAAAAGCAGTCATAGCAATAATACTTTTAACTAATTATATTGAGTCATGCCAACATATTGATGGATGTATTCAAATGCTCTATGAAAATATTTCATATAGGGTATAATAAAAGTTTTCCTTGGTATTTGATACCCTCTGTTTATTTAACTTTTTGTTAAACTTTGTTTAACTTATTATTCCAGAATAATTTAACACATAGACTGAAAGGTGCAAAGGTTTGCTTTATATACCTATGATTTCATGATTAAAAACTCAACAAAGTTTTACTATGATTTTTTTCAGTAGACTTACAGTTGGGAGGTCCACATGCACATAAAGGATCTTTTGATGAGGATGAAACTGAGAGTTTCTTCAAATGTATTTCACTGTATGTATTTTTAGTATATGGAGTAATAAGAGGAGCAGTGTCTTTAGTTACCTACATTTAATTAGTTGAAGTTGATTAACTAACACCATTGTGTTTTGTCTTCTATTGAATGATTCTCGACTAAACCTTTAGCAAATTAGCATGTGGTTATTTATGCTATATCCAGTTGTTCTGTAAAAGTAGAAAGCTGTACCATAAAACTTCACTTTTCCCTTCCCAACTGACATTCTTCATTTTTCACTGAATACTGCTTTCAAATCTAAGCTGTTCTGTACTATTCTCTTAAATGATATCAAATTGAAGTAAAGCTGCATATAATGTTGCTGGCTAAATGGAGTATGAGAGATGCTAACATGCCTATTATATTAATGAGAAATAATTTTGATGGTTTATTTTAGATAGTTATGGCTGTTAGCTATGGAGCAAAGCATGATTTGACATCCTAGCTTGTCTCAAGCATTCCTACTTGAATGAAATAGAAATTTATGATTAACTAAAGTTTTCTGAAATTGTTTCAGTCACTACATACAGGGACAAATTAGACTATTGATGGATAAGATCTGAGTGGACATTCAGTCACAAAAATGCTTTTTCTTTTTCAACAAGAAGTGAGGCATTACTAACTAGCCTTTGAATTTTTTCCTCCCCTACTTTTATTCCTCCAAAAGTTGTGGATGCTCCAACACTGGAGGTTTTTAAGAAGAAATTGGACAACAATTTGTCTGAAATGGTATAGAGTTTCCTGCTTGAGCAGGGTGTTGGTCTAGAAGACCTCCAAGGTCCCTTCCAATTCTGTTATTCTTTGGAGTTGGGTGGGTTAGAAAATAAGTGTAAAACCTCTTCTGCCTTTTTTCTAAATGAACAGTTATGCCAATTAGTGTCTGGGTTTATGTTGGCTGTCTGTAATCATTCCTTACTTAAAACAGAAGCTCTTTGAAAATCCTAAATTTTCAAATATAGTAATACTCTTCTGAAACTACATTAGAGTTGTTGGATTTAATCATGTAGGAGCAAATTAGTTTTCAGACAGGGAAATAATGTATGGAAAATATTTTCAATAAACCTCCAATTGTTTTAGGAATATTCTGTTTCCTTGCTTTCTAGAAATTCTGGTTGGATATTAACAACCACTCTTCTCCTGTCTATACTTGTGTTGCTGTGGATTTGTTGTGCAACTGTTACTACTGCTGTTGAACAGTATGTTCCATCTGAGGTAAATTATCACTTTATTTTTATGTTATGCTAAGGCTTTCATTCAGGTTCTTTCTGATGGAAATATGTGATCAAATAAACCGCCTCTTAGGGTTTATAAATAACCCAAAATTGTTCATAAATACAGTTATTCATTCCTGTCATAGAATAAGCATGCAATTTTAATATTTATTTAATCTGTAAAAATATTAGGAATGGGCTTCATCAAGTGCCCCTTGGAATCCACTGGTGAAAGCACAATGATCTCTCAGAGGCTTATGGCCATCTCAGGGTTCTCCATATATCCTGGCATACATGTATCCCCACAGATAATAGTTCTGCTATGAAAGCTGCAATTGAATGGCCCATTTTAAGCACATTTTGTTTTCTTTTTCTAGAAGCTGAGTATCTATGGCGACTTGGAGTATATAAATGAACAAAAATTGAACCAATATCCAACCTCTGCTCTCGTGATAGTAAAATGCAAAGCTGAGGAACAAGAAGCAGGACCTCTGCCTACAAAAGTTAACTTAACTCAGTCCGCAATATAAAATGGAAAAAACAGATTTATTAATCTAATTCTTAGACTTCTGTTAATTCTGGTAGCTTTTTAAAACTGAAGAGGCCTTGGGGTATAAGTTAGCTAGTATTTAGATTCAAACAAAATGGCAAAATCAAAGGAGAATGGAATTCAGCCTCTTTCAGCAGTCAAGCAAATCACATTGGGTACAAGGAGTTTGTAGTGCATTTACACTTGTCTGTTTTCTTGGAATACTAAAAGTCCTAAGTATTTGTCTATGCATTGACATTTGTATATTATGAACCTATGTCACAAAATATATTTGGAATCTGTTTTAAAAAGTGTAATAAGTTTTTGGTAGTCAAAAGCACTTTAAGTTCTCTTAGCTGTGGATAAATTAAATGACTGTAGTATAGCTTACAAACTCTATCATTTCAAACATCTCTTTTTCCACAATTAAAAATAAATTTTGTTTAACCTTATGCCTGTTTCCTCTGCTGAAATAATTGTGGGTCAGAAATAAACTTTAATAAAATCCCTCTACATATTAGAGTGTCACTTTTGCATTGCATTCCATAACAAGCCTTATGAAATTAGACAGCATTCTCTATATGAAAGTTCTCTTTCAGTTTGTCATCTTAGGTTGATGGTGCCACTCTTCAAAAACTTTACTAAAAAGAATATGACTAGAAATCTTGTACTATTTGGCTTCATCTATGCAATATTTATCATGAACTTAATGGACTCATAAGTAGACCATGATTTTCCTATAGCTCTCTCAAAAGTTCTTCCCTATCCATGTTCAATGTTCTAGAAAATGGAATTGAAAGCTATTGCTTTTAAAATTGAATTTGAAACATTAATGCATGTTACAGTGTAAATTTGTTTGCTGTTAAAAAGAAGGCTCTAGAATCTTTGTTCCACGTTAATAGAGTATTTTGGAAAAACACCCCTGAACATCTACAAAAGGCTGAATATTGTCTCTGGACTGTTTTTAAAAGACAAATATTACTCTTCTAAGCACTCTTGGGATACATAAGTTCTATATCAATTGTTTTGATTTTTACTGGCAGGCATTAATTAAATTGTATTAACTACTTCAACTAGAATAGCTTTACATTATTTTTGAATTCCAACTCTTTATGATGTTTCTGTCTCAAATTAAGCACAGATCTAAGGCTAAACCCAGGTTGCATTAAATAAATTGAAATATACCTTTGCAGGTTGAGAGAAAGTTGTGCATTCTCTGTTGGAGGCTCTTCAATACATTGCTATGGATTCTTTGTTCAGTATGAGAAACATGAACAAAACCATACTCATCATTCTATGATAAGCTCATTAAAAGAGCCAGTAATTCAGTTTTTATAATATTCAGCTTTTTCTTCAGTAGGCAAAGTCTACTTTAATATTATTATACAAAACTTAAGGTTCTGCTCTGAGAACAATTCTGACAACATAAATCAAAGGGGATTTTTTTTCCCCTTTATGCTTGCTTCCGTTTTCTTCAATAGGATGGAGATGAAGTCCTACGTAAAAGAAGAAAAGAGTCATTCTCTTCTTCTGTTTCTCTTAGTAACCAGGTAACCCAACCCCAGGTATGTAATCAACACACCACTTAATAAAAGCCAGCTCCTCTTTCTGTCTTGAGTAGCAACACCATTTTAATACTGATGATTGAATGACCAGAACAATTTTCTTGTCAGGATAATCCTGCTCGGCTTCAAGAAGGAAAATGAATAGAACTTACCCTCAGGTAATCAGCCATCCCTTTAGGATAATTATAATTTCCCTTATTGGATTAAAATAATTTTTGTTTTCTATAAACAAATTACAAATGCTTGAATATCGTGTACAGTTACTTTAGTAACAGGAAATTGAATTAAATATAATTGAATATTTTGATGTTTACATCATTCTCCAAATATGCATAATGATATATGATGTAGTATTTTTTAATTTATTTCAGTTATTTTTCTTGCATCCCTCAAGGTTACTTAGAGATTTTCTCCAATTTTATCCCAGCAACAATACCCTGTGTAATGATCCCAATGTGTTACAATGTGCTTCATGGTGGTGCATCTCCAGAGCTCCTGAACTTGGCCTCCTGGTCCAAATCTACTGCTTTAACTGATGTAGCTACTAAAGTAGTAAAGCTACTTTACTAAAGCTACTAAAGTTACTTGCTTTAAAGTTCTTGGCTCAATGTTTATTTTATTTTTATTAATTATAGAATGTTGATACGGATTCACTGGGTTCAGCCAAATCCCATCTCACTGATAAGACAGGTAAAAAGTTCTGAATACTTAGTGATAAAATACTAGATGCTTAATACATATGTTGAAATGGTTTTTCAGGAGAGAGTAGAAAATATAGTCATAGCACACCAATACACATATAGTTAATATTGCCATTAGAAAATTGTTAACAGTGTATAATTATGTTAGAAATAGAAAATGCTACCCATTCAAAAATGACTTTACATCGGTTACAAGTAGGAAATGTATATTATGAAACTTGGAACACAGAGAGATAGCATTACCTAAATCCATATTAAACATTAATTTAATAACATTTGTGTATTTTAACTATAACCATTACTATATTTTCCAATATATTAGAATAGTAGATGGATGGACGGAAAACAGGAAAATGGAAAACAGGATAGTATTTTTAAAATTATTATTATTCATCTACTTTTACTTCTTCCTGCGTGTACATTCCCAGTCCTACTAGCTGGGGATTCTGTGATTGATGGTCCAAAACAACTAGAAGACATGAAATTGTACAAGGATATACTAGCATTTTACAACTTTTGAGTAAAAGACTTTGTAAAATTTCAGAATAGATTCATAGCATCATAAAAGAATAACAGTTGTTATTTTACTTAGTTTTTCTAAAGCATTTATATGGACGCTCTGCTCACACAAGGCATACAAAAGGGAAAAAATCATAACCAACCAATACAAAAGGGGCAAATATAATTAAAGCTAATAAAAAAGAAAAAGAGGCGATTGGGGCAGATATACTATAATTCCTCAGCGTGGGTCTCTATACACTGATCCCTCAAACAGAGAAAGAAGCAGGTCTTCCCTATCTTTCTAAATGTCTATAGGATTGTACGTATTAGCATACAATTAGCGTCCATATCTACGCTAATTGAAAGAAATAGAAACATGCACTTGAGAAGGAAATGGGAAAAATAAATGACATGATTTTCCTCTGAAATAGCATCAATGGAAGGATCTGATATCACTCATCAGTACAGATTAACAATAGAAATATTGAGTTCTCTGTTAAGTTACTTAAAGATTGCAAAAGTAAAACCCAAATGTGATAAATATTCTTCTCTTGGGCTTGGAATTCGGTTTATTTCCTCAGTTTTCTTGTAGCGTTCACTGAACAAGAGGCATAGCTTGGAACACACACTTTACCTGCAGAAGATTCAAATTTAGTCTTCAGTCCGTCCATCTAGGAAAGAACATTACAAACGGGAGGTTTCAAAAAAATATCTTCCAAACGACTAAATAAGGACCCTAAATTTCTAAAATAAATGATGTAAAAGACAAATGTATTTGTTTATTAAATGTTACCATATAATTTGAAGACCAATTTGGAGTTCCTGCTGGACAAAATAGTCTTTGTGTTCCATGGCATTAGGGCAACAGGAAGTTCCATTAGATGAGTGTTTCAATTTCAGCAACTTTTAAGATGTGTGGACTTCAATTCCCACACATCTTAAAGTTCCTGAAAGTGAGAAGCATTGCATTAGATTTTGCTTTAAAGAGATTTGGAGAAATGAAAATATTACAAAATTCATGCAGCTATACAGGCTTTATTTTTAACGTGAATAGATCCTATGGTCCATGACAAGAGCAAAGACTTTTAAGCATATAAATATTTTATATTAAGGAAAAAGTAAAGTCTCCTGTATATCAGGATCAGATGATAGGTAACTTCTCTGTTGTTTTCCTGACAATGATGCAGAAGTGCTTTGACACTTCAGGAAGTTCTTTCTTTTACTTTTACATCAAGATACAGCCCTGGCATTCCTAGTAACCTCCCTTGTAGATTCCAGTCAGGTACAAGTTGCTTACATTTTTGTGATCTGCCACGGTCAGGCAAGCGCTGCTTACTAAATGGAGTAAAATGCAATGATGCTTAGAATCCATGTATTCTCCCCATGCCATCCAGATGGTCCTGTGTAGGTCTTTTAGAAAGAAATTAATTGATGGGAGCTGGCAGAAGCCAATATGCACATGAATTCTGCAATAGTTTTCTTTCAATAGCAGGTACCACTCATGACCAACCAGACTGTTGTAGAAAGTGTTTTTCTTGGACTCTTTGCACTCGACGATGCATCTGTGTATCTGCCATTAGTCTTATTATACTTGGTATAATCATTGCCATCATCACATTGGCTGTGACTGTCGGCATTCCTCCTCCTACCCCAGGTCAGTTATTTTCAGATTTCAGTTTTAGTCTGACATAGACATCAACATCACAGGAAGAATAGTCATGGCTCTTTCAGTATGTCGGATGGCGAGAGTGTTGTCTGAAGTATCAAGAGTTAGAAAAAAGGAGATCTTGCTTGTTTATCAATATAACCAGCAATGGACATTTTTAAAGCATAGGGTTTAAATATGTCGTTGATAATCACTTCAGAGGGACTCATATGCTTTCCCTGTTCTTTGTAAAGTTTCGCTGTGAGGAAAATATCTATTGCTTGGAACATTTACTTTGGGGTGGTTTTTTTTTTTAATTTACTATTATAAGTATCTTCCATAAACAGCTGTCTATGGATTGATTCAGATATTCTGATCTTGAAACCGCGTTGCCATGGTTGCAGCTAGGTGCTAGAAATGACTATTCTAGCCTTATGGCCTAGCATAAGGAAGTCTCTTTTGAATCACTGTTGATTTTTCAAACATAACCGTACAGTTTTCTTGGCAATAGGATGAACATGTTTTGTCACTGCCATCTTTTAGTGCTTCCTAGTCTGGCAAACCAGACCTGATCCTGTTTAGTTTCTGGGCAAAACTAGGTCAGCCAGCTACTACTATCTGTACTCAGGTAAATCAACATACAACCCATAAATGAATCACTTGATCAACTCTTTCTTTGTCCAACTGAGCATGGCAACATTCTTATGGTGGATTTAAACCAGGGGTCGGCAACCTAAAAAGGTGAAAGAGCCACTTGGACCCATTTCCCTCACACAAAAAAAATCCCGGGAGCCACAAAATGTGCACATGCGCACTCACGTACAACATTGTATAATTGATTTTTTAAAGCTAGTCCTCGACTAGCAACAGTAATGCAATTTGCCCATTACAGTCATAACGGTCTTAAAACAGGTCACTCATGTGACCAACCTGATTTGACAACTTTTGCAGCAGTCATTAAGCGAATAAGTCATTAAGCAAACCAATTGTTCACTATGGCAAGATTTCCTGAAAACCAGAAGTAAATGCTGGTTATTGGCAAAAACATCATGAAACCTGGTCACATGACCACAGGATGCTGCAAAAGACTGTAAATGTAAGCCTAACATGCAGTCATATGACTGCAAAGGGGGTCAGCCATTGAAACGTTGGAACTGGGTTATAAGAACTCCTGGGGAGGTCCATCATAAGTTTGAATGGTCCCTAAGCCACTGGTCATAAGTCAAAGAATACTTGCATACAATGCAGTTAATATTTGACACATAATATATGTGACATGACATATGTGACATGATAAAGACATAAATCTTTTGATATTTGATTTCCAAAGTTCACATAATTCCAATTATTGGCCAGAAGGGGTTGCAGAAGGGGCTAATCCATCTGATCTGGCGATTCAGTAATATGGATATGGAATCTTTAAGGTAATTATAGTGTTAGGGAAATTGACTATGCTCTCCTGCAAATTATGTTTTATGGTTTTTAAGGGTTTTACTGCTTTTAATTTTTGACTATTTGTTGTACAGTACTGTTCTTTCTGGTTTTAACTTTGTATACTTCCCACAGTCTTAGTGTCTACTTGTTCTGTGACAGTTTTGTAGAAATTATGTTGCATTCACCTTTAATAGAAAAGTAGAAGGAAGGAATTAGAGTATGTCTGAAGATTAACTGTATCTGCAGATCTAAAACCATAATCTGAATTGCATCAAATTTCATAGAGGCATATGCTATAGTACTGTTAGTTCTGATTATTGAGTGTCAGTATTTACAATTTTTACAATTTGCTTGCTCTTGATTTTATTTTTCAGTTAACCGTTTATGTATGACTACCAGTAAGCAGACAGGCTTTTTATGTGATAACAGAGAGACCTGTATTCCAGCCAGTGAAGTTTGTGACACAAGAAAAAACTGTGACAATGGGGAAGATGAGCAAGAAGCATTATGTAGTAAGAGACTTAAGTACTTCCTCTTGTCCTCTTCTTATCACAATGTTTCTCTCTAGGATATCTTAGGCTTCTTGTAAAGAATACGTGATTATATATTCTGCAGTTTTAATCTATCGTGTTATTATTTCTATTTAGAAGGGAACATTTGGTTATTTATGCTATATCTTAAATCAAACAGCTGGCTTACAATAGGGCTACAAGATCTCAAAGTCCAAAACTGCTGTACAAATGTTCTTAAAGCAATATAGAAATTAATAGGCAAATATGTTCGCTCACATGCATATTCATTTCTATAATGTTTTAAGGACACTTTCACAGCCTGCATATTAAGTTGCACAATATCTTGAGTAATTCCTCCCCAATAACATTTGAATTTGAATGTTTGTGGTTTTCAATTGAATCTAAAATTATTTTTCTAAACAAGATCCCTTTATTCCACTGCTCTAGCAAATAATATAAACATCTCCTAGGCTGAAGAGACAGCCCATAATATCAGAATAAGCACAGTGTTCCTGAAAAGCAGAACATGTATAGCACAGGTAATCCTCAATTTACAGATATTCATTGAATGACCATTCGAACTTATAACAGCACTGAACAAAATGTGACTGATGACCGCTTTTCATACTTACCACCATTGTAGCATCTCCAAGGTCACATGATCAAAATTTGGATGCTTGGCAACTGGCATGTATTTATGCCAGTTGCAGTGTCTCAGGATCATGTGATCACGTTTTGCGACCTGGGGAAGCTAGATTCACCTGAAAACCATGTTACTAACTTAACAACTGCAGTTATTCATTTAACTACTGTGGCAAAAAAATAGGACAAAACTCAACAACTCTCTTGCTTAACAACAAAATTTTTGGCCTCAGTTGTGGTTGTAAGTCAGCAACTATCAATACTAACAAGTTGCTGTAGTTCTTGAAAGAGAAACACTATCATAACCACCAGAAATGAACTAAGAGTAAAATGATCCCAGACCTCTTTGATTTCTTCTGATGTATCTGTGCATATCTTTCATTTCAGCAAATACTTTTCATACAGTTTCATTGTTCTGCTAACAAATATGGAAGTTTTTGCTTTGGTGTCAAATATTTTTTGCATTCATCCTCTGTTCCCATCTTATCCCCAATCCATATGGTCAACCAGGTTTTACTATGTAATTATTTGAAGATGAGCCCATTGGGATTTAAAAAAAAATCTGCAGCATAGCTCAGAAAAATACAGCAAAGAAGAGCAGAAAATGAGAAGCTGGAAGGAAATCTTCATTGACCTTGGACGGCTTACATCACATCTGAATTTCCTAGAACATTATGTTTTAAATTGGAATTAGGCTATGGTCAAAGACAAGATTCAAACATTCTGCATTTCTTTAGATCCACCACTGCAAAGCTCCAGTTGTCCCTTTTTGAAAAATTGATAAATTTTGTCTTAAGATTACAATTAACAGATTTGATTTGAGAAGTTGATTCTAACTGAAATGTAACAATAGATTTTGATCACTGTCCCATCTGACACTTTCTTTATTTCCACTTTTTTCAGAAGCTAGATTCATACATTGCACTAAGGCGTGGGTAGGCAACCTTGGCTCTTTTATGACTCGTGGACTTCAACTCCCAGAATTCCTGAGTCAACATAGCTCATGAAAGAGCCAAGGTTGCCTACCCCTGCATGAAGGCATACTGACTTGACATCTTAGGCTAGACTGAACTGGAATTAGTATTACCGTAGTAATTATCAGGGGGTTGTGGGAAGTCAACCTTTGTCTTAACATGTCTGAGCAATTACGATTTGTAATGTGGAAAGATTTTTTAATTCAAAATTAGATTTATTCCTATATGGTCTCTAACCCTCCTTTTGATCATTAACATGACCTGCAAGTAACTGAAACTGGAGTACTATGTTGCAAACAAAGTCAATACAATGTTGCAAAGATTGCTAATCCACTTCTTTCACTGATATGATTAATGCCCAGGCTAAACTAATTAACCTGGCAAATAATAGCAGACAAGGAAAACCTTTTCTCAATACAGAGTTTCCTTGGGTACACAGAAATGGCATCCAAAGTCAGCACGTTGACACACACCAAAGGAAAAGGATCTACACACACACTAAGCAAAGTAAGATAAGTTTTCCATCAGACCTGCACATCTACCAAATTAAACATTACAAGGGCACATTCACACATACCTCGCAAAGGGCCATTTCTCCTATAAATATTTCTGGCCTCTGTACCCCAAATTGTAGCTACCTCAAGTGCTGCTTCTATGTTCTCGAGTAAATTTCTTCCTCTTCAAGCAACTGAGCCCAGTGTCATTCTTTTGCAATCCCAGCTCAGATTTAGACTGGAATATTCTTCTGACAATAAGCTCTCTTTAGAGTTGACCATGCTATGGGTCAGTGGTGGCGAACCAATGGCACAGGTGCCAGAGGCAGCACTCAGAGCCCTCTCTGTGGGCACGCGCGCCATTGCCCCAGTCCTAGGCCTTCAGCTGGGTTTTATAAAACCTTTTTACTTTAGGCCTCCACCACCATGTGCCCAAAAAAAAAAAAGGGTTCAATCAGTCAATTTCAACTTCTCACGGGAAAAAAAAATATCTTGCAAAGTTGGAATTGATTGATTGAACTTTTGAGTCCCACCCAGTCTGCCGTTACCATCGCAGCCATGCCCACCCAATGGGCCACACCCACCGGGCACTTGACGATGCATAAGTGGGTTTTGGGTTGCAGTTTGGGTACTCGGTCTCTAAAAGGTTTGCCATCACTGCTATAGGTTCTTTTCTAGTGTGATTTGTTTTGTTTTGGCTTACTATATTGTATGGATTGAACAATTATGGATTGTTCAATAAACCATAGTTTAGCACAAACTGCAAGTTTGATCAATGCATCTTATTTTGGCCTGTAAATTCATTTTACCAGGAATCCCTGCTTTCGTACAGTACTCCCTAAAAGGCCATGGTGGGAAAAAAAAACCTAGTTAACAAACTTAGGTTGTGGCAAAAATACTTTTATTGGTATACAAATACAGGGCTTCTTGGTACTCAATATACACAATACAGAATAATGTAGTTGGAAAGGACCTTGGAAGTCTTCTTGACTCATCCTCTTCTCGAGCGGGAGACCTCCTATACCAGGGGTTCTCAACCTTGGCAACTTTAAGACTTGTGGACTTCAATTCTCAGAATTCCTCAGCCAGCAAAGCTGGCTGAGGAATTCTGGGAGTTGAAGTCCACAAGTCTTAAAAGTTGCCAAGGTTGAGAACCCCTGTCCGATACCATTCTGGACAAATGGCTCTCCAATCTCTTGTTAAAAACCTCCAGCTGATGGAGATCAACTCAACTCCTTTCAGTTTTTGTTCCAATTCAGGCTAACAGTTCAGAATTTCAGGGGTACAGTTTAACTAAGCAAAATTGGATTTTTTTCTAGATACACTTTAGAATTACAATCGGTATATACAAATATTTAAACTTTGGCATCCAAAAGGTTTAAACCAGTGGTTCTCAACCTGTGGGTCGGGATCCCATTTGGGGTCGAACGACCATTTCACAGGGGTCCCCAAACAAGGCTGTCCGCCATTTTTTCCCCCTTTTCTTTGGCCACGCCCCTGGCACCCGGTGATGTATAAGTGGTTGGGGGTCACCACAACATGGGGAACTGTATTATGGGGTCGTGGCATTAGAAAGGTTGAGAACCACTGGTTTAAACCAAAAACAGCAACTGAAATAATGTTTTTTTTTAAAAAAATCATCAAATTGATTCTGAAATAAATAGTTCAACACCCAACAGCTTGCATTTCTAAGCAAAATCAGTGTTCCATCGACATTGCCAGGATATACCTTATATTTCCTTCAGTACTCAAGTTTTTATACTTGACAGGTTGGGATTTATTTATTAGGATAATATTTTTTCTTGACAGGTCATATTTTAAGAAACTTTTTTTTTACACCATTGTAAGCTTACATTTATTTGTTTTGTTTTGGTAGGTGATTTGCCAAACAGTCTCCCTGGATACTTGATATTTTATTGCAAGAATCGCAGGCTTTGGATCTACGCAGACAAAAGGTGTAATGGATTTAATGATTGTGGAGATTGTTCCGATGAAATGGGATCACGTGAGTCCTTTTTAAACATAAATGCATATTTTAAGGCTTTTGTTGTCTTCCAAAGTGTTTTACGTTAGTTGACCTTGCCCTCAACACACACACACACACACACACACACACACATTAATACACACACATATACAACAGAGGGGAAAACAGAAGACTGGTAATTCAAGTCCGGAGCAAAGGAATTAAGTCTAATACAACACAGAACTATGCAATTCTGACTGGTTTGTTCCTGCTTTACTGATGTTCTTCCTTATGCAGATCCTTTGACCTTCTGGCCAATGGATGAAAAAAAAGGTTAGGTAGTTCCATAAGGAAAGAAAAGGAGTCCCTGTGAATTTCACTTGCTAGTCGTTGCCAACTCTAGGGGTGCAGCAGTTATCTCTGTTTCGAGACCATAAGCTAGAGTTTATGGATATAATTCTAAATTGATCAGCCCCCGCTAAGGGGGCTGATCAATTATGGTCTATGCCAGGGGTGTCAAACTCAATTTCACTGAGGGCTGCATCAGCATTGCAGTTGCTCGGCGGGGGGGCAGGTGAGTGTGGCCAGAGTGGGTGCAGCCTACTGGGTGGGCGTGGATGGAGTGGGTGTGGCCTACTGGGTGGGCATGGCCAGTTATACATAATTCGCGTCAAGGGTGCCTATGGGGGCCTGGGCAGGAGTGGGGCAGATCTGAGGGTCTCTGGCAGAAGGGGGTGGGACCGGGGCAAGTGCCAAGGCATGGTCCACCGGGGCAAGTGCCAAGATGGCCACCGCAAAATTGTACATTGGCTCCCAGGGCCAAGGCAGCAGGGGCTGTTCCCTCACTGTTTCCAGGATGGCTTCGGGGGCCACATGAAACCACTTCGCAGGCTGCATCTGGCCCCCGGGCCTTGTGTTTGACATGTCTGGTCTATGCCTTGCTATCTTTTCTGTACGTGCTCTGCCACACCATACAGGCCCAATATATTCAGGGAGTAATACAAAACTGGCAGATCATGTTTGACTAGGAAGCGCAATGGAGTGTAAAGTGCTGTGTTGCTATATTATTTACTGACCAGCAAGATTTTTCCTGACATAGCCTTGTAAATAAGATCAAGAGAATGAATTGGCATAAATATATTTAAAAGACTCAGAATCTTCTTTGGCATATGATTTCTCTAATCTTGAGCCTTTCAGATGAGTTAGGGCTAGAGTTCTCCTAAGTCTAAGTAAGCATTGCTCACAGCCAATGTTTCACAATTCTGGGTAGGGGACACTTAAGTAGGATTACCCATTAATCACCGTACGGTTTTCAGAAAGAAACATCTTATGAATGGTGTTCATGTGTGGTTTCTTTCTTATCTTGTAGAAGCCAACTGTCCTCCTTGTGGATCTCAGTTTTGGAGTTGTACCCTGGTGGTCTTCTATGAATATTGTACTTGCATTCCTAGAAGTTTGTGCCGAGATGGAATACAACATTGCTTCGACTGGTCTGATGAATACCTCTGCACAAGATAAGCAGATGATAAACACAACCTTGGAGAAAATAAAAAGCAATCCACTGAGAACCAGGCTGCGATGGAATTGCAGATAGTTTTAAAGGAACCTCACAAAGAATGTTTTATATAGTGTTGTTGCTCTTTACAGCACTTGCCTTGCTTGGCTGCAGGGGCCACTTGATTTGCACTGCAGTCACCTAGTTCTCACAGTGAAGCTATTCATCCATGACAGCCAAGAGGATTTTGGTTTTCATTCAGTTTGTCACAGAGCCTGACACTGCTGTTTCCAAATCAATGGCTTGTTTAAATTCAGTCTTTATAATCTTCCAATCTTGCACAGATGCTCATGTACCAATAAAGGACCTCCTTATTTGTAAATCAGAGGTTACGAACTTTCAGCTTTTATCAGCTTAAGCTGTTTATGAGAGGAGTGTTTAAATATATAGAAGAGCCACGGTCTGATATTTAGATGGCAGGCCAGGAGCCAACAGTGAGATCAAGACAAACTAAAATTGAATTTAATGAAATATATTTTGTACATTTTAATATTTATTTATTGTCCTTTTCTCTCGCATTGGAAATCACAACTTGGAACAAATGCCTGCAGGAAAGGTTTTTGAACATTGCACCGAACAGGATACATGCTTTCAGAATGCATCCCTTTAATAAAGAGGAGGCTCAAGCAATGTTATATTTGCAATAAAAATAGTACTTAGATTTACATACTGCTCCATAGTGCTTTACAGCCCTCTCTAAGAGATTTACATAATCAGCATATTGCCTCCAACAATCTGGGTCTTCCTTTTGCCGACCTTGGAAGGCTGAAAGGCTGAGACAACCTTGAGCCTGTCAGGATCGAACACTTGGCAGTGGACAGAGTTATTCTGCAATACTGTACTCTAACCACTGCGCCACCATGGCTTGGATTGTAATGGGTCCTTGGCTAACAAGCAGTAAAATCACCTTAACAACAACAATGGGGATTACTGGGATGGCTGTTGCTAAGTGATGCAATCATGATGTCTCACTTTATAATTGCATCAGTTAGTGACCAAAATCTCAGTCCTAATTGTGGTTGCAAATTGAGGACAACCTGTAGTTCCCTCTACTGTCTAGCCTGAAAAGCCCATCCTTTCATGTTTTTAAATAATTCAAAATAAAAATATTTTCCTATGGAAATTATAATTAATTCCAAAATCTTACTTCGTGTTTTTTCTGGACCCTGAGAAACTTTGTAACTTTCTAAAATCAAAATTTTAATCAACCCTTTTGCTGTTTATTCCAGAAAAAAAATCTTTGTATTTAAACTTCTTTTGCTAAGGATTGAAGGAGTCTCACCTAATGCTGTAAAACCTGTCAATTCAAAGTTTTCCAATTAAGAATTTCCAAGACTGGAAAAGTATGCAAACCCAGTGGTCCTTAAAGATGCCAATTGTGATTTGAACAAGATGGACATTCCGTTGTCTCCCAGCTCATTAGACCTAGCAGAGAGCACTGTCTTGTAGTCTCTTTATTAGGAGCAATTGTACGGACTACTTGCTGGCAATCTCAAATCTCCCACCTTCTCTGGAGAGGAATTATGAAGAGCCAATCTACTTGCCAGCTCTTAATTCTGCCAGTCATCAGCTTCACCATCTTTGCCATTTCTTCCCCCAAAGACACCTTTTTTTGTGTTTTGACATGGCAGAAAAGTGTGCTGATTTTTAGTGACCACGGTTAACTCAAGGATCTGGAAAAAATAGAGTTCATAGGCCATTTGCAATCTCAAGATTTATGTTCCTATCTGGGCAGTTACCAATACAGGCAAGAGTTCAACTGGAGCGGATGTTTGGGAAAAGTTAAAGGATGTAGGGAGAATCGGCAGGAATTACTAGGTGGGGAATGATGGCCCCTTTCTTCCAGAATTCCTGAACCAGCATGCGCTAGGCAAACTCTGGGAAAGAAATCACATAACTGTATATACAAAGAAAAGAAGCCAAGTTTATGAATGCCCCCTCTCACATCCCTAAATATTTGAGTCTATTAGTAAATTCATACTAATTGTTTTCCTGAGCAAGGAATTTCGAAGGAGAGTAAGCATAATTTTCTATGCATGGGGTGTATTACTGCTTAAACAAATTCCAACTAGCTACAGATTTATACTAGTAAATCCTCAGTTTGATTAGGCCACGATGGGCTCAGATTGGGAGTCAGAGGAAAAGAGTCAGAGGAAAAGACTGACAACAAGCAGCCAGCTCCAGCACCACCAGATGGGCTGCCAAAGCAAAACAGCAAACAGATACAATCTCTCTGAAGGGTGTGGAATTACCATCCCAACACAAGAGCGTGGAGGCATAGGAAAGGCACTCTGAGAAACTGCTTGCACTGAAGGAGTGAATGAGCTACATCAGGGCTGCTTCTATTAAAATGGAGCAGCAAGGATAAGCTCTCCATTGATGACAACCACCTGTTAACTCCCCCTCCATGTACCCTGATTTGTGAACCTTGGAAAAACTGACTTTGAAGCGGCTGACAAATCTGGTATAAGCTTTGACCCTCAAGACTTGACTCTAGCTGACTACTGTTCTGAGTGCTGCTTTTATTCATCCGTAAGCCAAACTTGCTAAAACTTTGGCAGGGAACTTATCTCTATACTGCAAGTGTGTGTGTGTTTGCAAGCCTCATTTAATGAAGAGAATAAAACCACCCTTTCCTGTATTATTTGGATACGACTGGCCTGGGACAGGGAGTTTATAATGTGGAAAGGTCAAATTTAATTGGCGAGCCCAAGTTTTGAAACCCAAAACTGCACAGGCAGTCTTGTATTACTACTTTTTTTTTTTTTAAAAAAAAAGTTCAAATATATATTTTTGAACATCACAATTTACATAAACAGTTCAACAATAACGCTCTTCAGCCTTTCAATTTACTGCATTATATTTAATTCCTTGTGGTCAAGTCTCACCCTGTTTCTTCAGATACAGCACACAAAGAGGCTACATCACACAAGAATGACTTGCATGAATTAAGATGCCCAACAAAAATCAACACCCAGGGCAAAAATGAATCATAGCTAGTTATCATTTCCAGCATTTTCTCAGTGAACCCACCTTAAAGTGCTCATTTATTGTATCTATAGAAGTACAAGAAAAGTTTATGGAGATTCTTAATCATCCAGGTCATAGTTATCCCAAAGATGCTTTTTCACGAGGCAACTGGACTTACTTGTTTTTCTTTGTAGACATTTCGCTTCTCATCCAAGAAGCTTCTTCAGCTCTGACTGGTTTGTGAGGAATGGGAACTTTCAACTGTTCCAAGAAGGCTCCACACCCATTTGCACTACTCAGGTGACCCTGGAGACACAGATAAGCCTCCAGGTAGCTTTAACTTTTGCTAAAACATTGCTAAAAGAATGCAAATGAACAGCTGTCTGCAGGAGTATAAATCTTTCCATTCCCCACCATCCAGTCAGCGCTGAAGAAGCTTCTTGGATGACAAGCAAAATGTCTTCAAAGAAAAACAAGAAAGTCCAGTTGCCTCGTGAAAAAGCATCTTTGGGATACAGCAAGCATTTCATATTCTTTATAATAGTTTGAAAATAATAATAGTAGTAGTAGTAATAGTAGTAGTAGTAATAATAATAATAATGACAAAAAAGACTGGATAGTGGACGTGGCAGTGCCTGGAGACAGCAGAATAGACGAGAAAGAACTGAAGATAACAAAATACAAAGACCTACAAATAGAAATAGAAAGACTGTGGCAAAGGCAAGCAAGGGTAGTACCAATAGTAATAGGCACCTTGGGTGCAATCCCAAAACTGGAGCATCATTTGAACACCATTGGCAATTGACAAATTGGTTGACTCAGCCTTCCATCCTTCCGGGGTAGGTAAAATGAGGACCCAGATTGTTGGGGGCAATGTAAATATATATATACATTGCTTACTGGTGTACACCGCTTAGAGAGTGCTTGCACTTAAAGCGGTATATAAGTCTCATAAATAAATAAATAAATTTGCAATTAGTCAATTGCAAAAGGCGGCCTTACTAGGAACTGCTTCCATCCTGCGATGATATCTGTAATACCATCAAACATCCACATCTGCCTATCACAGGTCCTTGGTAAGGACTCGATAGGTAGACAAAAATGCCAAATCCAGTCTGAACATCTGGCTGATTGTGCGATGATCAATAATAATAATAATAATAATGATAAATAATGTTGGAAGATTTCTTTCCAGCCCATTAACTGCAAAAATATAATGCATCATTTATTTTCCAAGTTTTTTTGTTCAAAGAAACAAAGCTGAACATCAGCCAATTAGTCAAAAATGTTTACTTTATTCAATAAGAGTTTAGCAGGTCCCATTCTGTCTGTGAAAAGCTAAAGAGTTCTGATTGAAGATGCTGTTTTTTCTGCTCAGTTGCAGTTCTCCTTCTCTTTGGTAATTCTCCCATCATTTCCATGTCTCTTTGTGGTAAAGGATTATCTGATATCTCTGTTCTTTCTCTGTAGAACTGCAAGTTCTCATAATTTTGTCTTTGCTTTTTTCCTAACAGTGATTCTGGAGATCCTTCTGCTCTGGGTCTTTTTCCATCTGCAAAAAACAACAAAAACCTTCTCATGAAGTGGCCACAACTACATTTTTATGTTGCTATGTTTTGGCCAGCAGCATCAAGAAAAGAACATTAACTTATATAGATAAAGCATTTTGAAGGCTTTCAAATGTTCAAAGGATTACTATTTTAATTCTTCCAGTCATTTTAAATGAAGCCTGAGGAAAGGAGGAATCTTATTCCATAAGGAGAAAGGAGAAGTTTAAAAAAAAATGCATTTCAAGTTAACTGTTACCATCTGTGTGTGTACAGCCTCTTTGGCTCACAGCTTCAGTGAGCAAAAATATACATCGATTTTTTAAAAGTAGTTTTAGCTGGGACACAATTGTCTTTGTTCAGTTACTTACAGAAATGTTGAGCTGCTAGTCTAGATTTTATACTTTCTTTTGGGTTAGCTATTTCTAGGACGGCATGTTTCCACTGCAAGATAACCTGAAAAAATTAATTTCCATAGTGAGTATGCTGATAAAGCTAAAAAGAAAAAAAAAGTTTTATTCCTCTGTATGCCAATCAACCTAAATGCAAAAGGTAGTATTAATTGTGCATAAATTATGATACTTAAGTTGAACAAGTGTCATTAATGTCAAAAACTGTGATACAGTTAACTGAATTGAAAGAATATACATTATAATTTAATAGCTATCCTTTTTACAAGCTTAAACCAAAAGTAATAATTCATTTAAAAAATACGTTTCTTGTTAAATAATCATTATTTATTTATTTATATTTCTAAACCTCCCTTCTTCCTCAAAAGGCTCTACAATATATTATATATTATATA